TTATGTATCTGATTTATCATCACGGGTTTATTACGAATCAACTTAACGGCCTGCTCCCAGTTGGCTTGTTACCTCAATTGGTAGAGCGCTGCACTAGTATCGCAGAGGTCAGTGGTTCGAATCCCGTACAGGCCTGATTTTTTTCAGGTCTGATTTTCGCTATTGCATAAATAGCGCTCTCTACTGCGAGGATCGTGCTTCATACGTATGTGTTTTATTCATTGTGGTACAGCCCTGTTCACAGACCTACCTCCCTGATGGCATTTATTTAATCTCTGATTGTGACGTTTGCAAACTTCTACATTTGGTCCTACCTGAAGAAAAACACAAAATCTGAATAAATGATGCCCTAGATAGTAGTGTTTAATGTTCTTGTCAGAGTACGGCGAATCATTTCCTTTATCGTGAAAAACGCTCCAAATTTGTGATTTCAACTTGTCTAACAGTTGACTGCCGAGCTGATGGCAGAATAATTAACCAGACGTCTGTCACAGCTTAATGGGGTACGTATCATGCTCGATCCTCGCAGTAGAGAGCGCTATTTATGCAATAGCCAAAATCCGACCTGAAAAAAATCAGGCCTGTACGGGATTCGAATCCCTGACCTCTGCGATACTAGTCCAGTGCTCTACCAATTGAGCTAACAAGCCAACTGGGAGCAGGCCGTTAAGTTGATGCGTAATAAACCCGTGATGATATGGGGTACATTGTGCAATGGGCATCAAGCATTTATGAAGGATATGATTTCATTAACTGCATGGTTACTTTAGAAAAAGAAAAGCTCAATTGATTTTATTCCGTAAGGGTCTGTTTTAGGCCCCTTACTTTTCTTGATTTATATTAATGATATTTATCTTTGTAGCAATAAACTTGGCTTTTATATGTTTGCTGATGACACAAACCTGTTATATGCTGACAAGGACTTGAAATCCCTAGAAACCGTAGTTAAGAATGAGCTAAAAAATGTTTGAGACTGGCATAATGCTAATAAACTAACTATTAACGCGAAGAAATCAAATTTTGTCGTTTTAGGCCAGCACAAAAAGGAATTAATCATCAGCTATGTATCAAAATTCCGGATCATACCAACAATGGATTCACACTTCTTTGAATGCAAAGATTATGTAAAATTTTTGGGTGTACTAATTGACAAGAACTTAACCTGGAGGCCTCATATTGATCATATTGCTTCGAAGATTAGTAAAATAGTCGGCATAATTGCTAGGCTTCGACATCATGTACCTTTAAATACCCTTCTTCAAATTAACCGTTCGCTGATTTTTCCCTACACGCTCTACGGTATAGCTGCTTGGGGTCAGGCAGCTCAGAGTGATTTAAAAAAGATTCTCACCATACAAAAGCGTGCACTCCGCTTGATTTTCTTTTCCAGCAAATTATCTCATGCTATCCCTTTTTTTATAACTTGGAGTATCCTACCTAATAATATGCTCTATTTTGAAAGCGTTTCCGCCATAATGCATGTTGTTTCTACTAGCTCTGCACCAAGCAATATTCGTGAACTTTTTCTTAATTCATCTGACGTCCACACATATAATACGCGTTTCTCTTCCACAGAGAATTTTTATGTACAGAAATCTAGATTGCATGTGAAATTGAAGTCTTTCTCTGCGTTTGGTACGAGGTTATGGAACTGTCTAAACCCTGACTTGCGTAAGCTCACAAAAAGAGCATTTAAAAGGGAAATTTCACAAGTTGCTTTTGACTATACTTGGGATTGACAACTATTATGTTTACGCCCGTTCACTAAAATTGAAATTCAATACCAATGATTATCGAATATTATAACTGTAGTACTTCGCTCACATCCGTATGTCACAATTCTCTCTTCTCCACTTTCCAGTCTGCTCTGCCTGTATTTGATTGTTATGTCTTGTTTAACTTACTAGTAATTTATTGTAATTAGTTTGTATGACAACTGTACGTATTTTAGCTTGTTATGTCGTAAACTAATGCATAGCTTATAACTGCAGTAATATTGTAGTAGTAATGAAATCTCTTTAGCTTACAATGTGTAGTATTTACTTATTTATTACTAATACCCGCCAAGATTAGCTAATGCTATATGCGGGTTGTGTAAATTGGCTTTTAATGTTCCATGAAATAATAATAAAAACAGCAGTAAAACAGCAACAGCAGTAAACAGCAGTATTCTCGCTCTGTTGAAATGCTCGCGGATCTTACTGGACGATCGACGATTGTCATTTTTAGCAAATTTTCTGGTCTTGCTGTGGGGGACCGATGGTATGATACCTAATCAAAATATTATTACTTTTATTTTAGATCCAATTCTTGATCGTTATCTTCCACACTTCCAATGCTATTCGAATAAATTGTGGATTCCTGAATGGTTATTTGTGGCTACAGTCTGGCTACATGTGCTCTCTCTGTGCCTTCTTCCTCAACTTCTACAACAAAGCATATGTAGCAAGTAAAAAAGAAGAATGAAGCTTAGACCTCGTGAATATACCGTAAACTGCCGTATTTAAGCCCTGGGCTCAACTTCGTAAGGGGCTATTAAAGGGTTAATAAACGAAGGGGCTTATTTCCGAGGGGGCTTATATCGTTGGGGAAATAGGAAACCGAAATAGAGAAAGGACGTCGAAACGAGCCATAGGGGTGCTGATCAAAGTAAGTTTTGTCTTTCCTGGTTTTTAGTTAAACTTCAAAACGTCGTGATAAACCGAATTCATTTCAATACTTTTGGAACACAATTAACACTAACAACACGAACTGTCAAAACTGGAACATTAGTAAACGGAAGTTCAGATTTTTCTTTCGAAGCTCGCGTTTGATAATTGAAAAGAAGTAGTAAACTCATTGCTCCGCAATGATTTTCAAAATGTTCTGTTTGATAGAAGTATAGAGTTCCTGTGTCTCAAAACAAGAAAAGTTAGAGGGGAGCTTATATCCGGGGGGCTTCTACTCGGATTTATCTTTTTGTTTACAGTTAGATGAGCGGGGTGGGGGGGGGCCTCATAAGCGGAAGTTTACGGCGGGTAGCTTTTGCGAAAAACTTTCTTTTTAAGGATGAAACAACTTCTCTATCACATTAGACCTCAAATGTTTCGTCGGGCGAAATCATAGTCACATGCTATATATTCCAGGGGGGTTTGTTATCGTTTCGCTTTATTCTATGATTCCGTGTACTAAAATGGTTCAGTTAAGTTACAAATTTGCTCTTTTATTATCTATGTTTTGATCCAACATTTCCAAAATTAATCTTTTTAGAGGCTGAGACGACGCGTGGAGTTTCTTTTTTCGTCTCATTTACTTTCTTCTCTGAAATTAAAAATGGGTTCCATTAGTAAAAGCTGGGAAAGGTAAAAAGCGTCTTAGGTTATTGTGAAAGAAATCTACACCTAGAAGATTGTAATCATTCAAAGGAGTTAACAGGAAGTAAACTGATCAAGTACTTTAAGTTATTACCTAAATGACATACTAATATAAAATAAGTCTATTGTCGCTGCTCGATGATAACTGATTTGGTTACCTTTCGCACTTGTGATACACGTATTTACCACAGCCTTCATTCTTGGAAAATATTTAGGAAGGTTAGCTAATAAAATTTATACGTATCGAGTTGTATGCTCTTAATCGAGCGTGGATATATGTGTGTGTGTGTGTGTGTGTGTGTGTGTTTTCTTTTTCACAGTACATTTATTATCAGATAATTCTGGATTTTGTTCTTTAGTTCATCAAGTTATTTACAATTGGGCAGTGCCTTCTAGAAAATATCTAGTCATTTTATTACTGATCGAATTAGATCGACAAACGTATATATTAGTGCTGATTATGAAATCGGAAATGTAATAAATCTAAGTTATCTTAAGTTAGAAATGTTACTATTAATTACTCTTAATTTATTATTTGAAATGTTATTTTATGTAGATGTAATTTTTGCTTAATTATTGATGAAATATAATAGTATTTACAAAAACAGTGGATAGCTATTCACCTCCGGGCAACGCGCGCGGGATTTTCGCCTTAAAATAATGTACCCTTTGCAGGAATTTACGAGTTAAAATCATCTTTTTGTGCTCTGTTATCTCACTGTTTTAGTATAGACTAAAGCAACTATTCACCAAATTGTCGGTGGCTAGCGGTAGTTATTTAGCCACCACTACTTCCCTCCACTTCAGTGAATACTTGTTAATTATTTGAAATATGATTAAAATTATTTTCATTAACTTTTTGTAAAGAACGAGTACAGCAGTTATTAAATAATAGATGTTATTTTTTCATATTGGCAATTATCATATCATCTGGAAAGAAAAATATTAAGTTTGTTCATTAAAAGCTTTTTATTGTGGATGTGTACATCCCAGTTGTGGACTATTTTAGTGTAGGTCTGCTATTTAGGCGTTATGTGAAGTTGTAACTGTTTTTAAAACATCTCTTGGTAGAAAGTCCGTTGAATTCTTAAAGCGGGACTGTGACGAAAAACGTATCATTCCGTAAAACCTTTTTACAACAATATCTCGAATTTATGCACTTTGAATGACATATGTATTAAATATTAGAAAAATCTAGCCAACGACCGCCGAGAAAATGAAACTTTTGCGTTGCGAAATCGCTCTTCCGCCATATTGCTGTGGAATAAATGAGCGGCAGGACATCGGTAACGCGTCAAAACGTAGTGACGTCATCCAATCAAGACAACTCGAAGGCAAGAGAGCTTGTAGGGCAAAATCACTATGTCTTCAAGCGAAAGTGATCGATCACCTAGTCATTGCTCCATTCCCTCGATAGCTTCCATTGAAAGTGATGTGAACAATACTCTTCCTGATGAAAGAACCAATGTAATTGAGGAATTTGATTTCCTTTTCCTGTAGGCGATCTTTAATTCTATTTATTTTGGTTGTCAGCGTGTTGACTGTTTTCTTCCGACTTCGGTTTTCGTCTCTTACAAACTTGCACGCGTCGCAACTGGTGGAGATATGAGTCTCTTCCTAAAATGACGAAAATGGGGCATTTAGTGATATAATTTGACTCTAATAGGTTGGAATTCCTTGACCTGACCATGTGTTGTTTATATGTACTGACAATCGCGTGTGTTCGCATAGAAAATCTCTCTAATTTTTACCTGGTAATCTATTGTTTTCTTGGCGGGAAACGAACCCGCAAGCTCATCTGCTTCGAAATGAGAAACGGCAATCTCATCGGCGGAATTTCCCGTTAACTCCGAAGATACTTCTTGATCCCCAGAAGCATCGTTATTCAAAGAAACAGAATCGGAAATGATTTCGGACCCGTTCGCGAAATCTGACGATGTAGATGTCGGTAGCTGCATGCAGAGATCACATATTAAAGATCAATATTGATAGACACTGGTATTGTTTTATAGAAGACAACTTATAGTAGAGAAAGCAACGTACAGCTGCGTACCTATAATGAGTTAAAATCAAACAGTTGAACATCCCAAATCCCTTTTTATCAAGTTCACTGTGGATACCACCAGTGACGTTTTTTGCCGTGTTCCGCTGTGGACGCACTTCGCGTTCATGGTTTATCTCTATTACAGGATTTGCCGGGCAGAGTGGCATCGCTGTCTTAGAATGAAATATCTCTTTCATAGCCTATATAGATCAATTAACATTATAAATATTATAAACATTTGATAAATACGAAGTTTGAATTTTGCTGGACGGTCACGTCGTTGCATTCTAATGAATGCGACTGGCTAACACCTCCACTTTGAAAAACTGTCGAAGAACTATCTAGACAGATTTCCAGAATACTTTACTACAAGTTACAATAAACCAACGAATAGTGAATGAAAGCTTGAAAAATTATACAGTTTTTGTGTTTTTTAGATATTTCCTACAGGTGTGGAATAGTTGAGAAAAATTGATTAGAAAGTCGACTCACCATACGATGATCCTTCGATGAAGTACTTGAGGTTTTCTCGTGATTACCGCGGCTTTCTCTCAAACTTTTCCAGTTAGTTGGTACTGATCCTGGTAACAATCTTCTCAATGCCCCTTTTAGATGGCATGTCCTTGAAAAACGCGATTCTAAAAAATGCTCAGAAACAACAAACCGGCCTTCGGGATCGAAGTTTTTTCTGTGAAGTCTGACAAAGTTCTTCCACTTCGCGGCAAGGTTTTTGTTAACGAGGGAGTTGTGTAGAGAGATTTCATCTTGTGGATTTGATCCATTGCTGCATCTCTGCACAACTCATCGAGGCGAAGGCATTGTGATATGCCAGCTTTAAAATTATAATCGTAAGATTCGAACTTTTCGCGTTTCTTACTCTTCTAAAACCAACAACTTTATGTCTTTGTTGATTGGATGACGTCACTACCGGTCTCCCCATACCTCCTCGGCCGGATTCAGCACATTCCAATCGGATTCAACTGCCTCGAAAAAGATTGTCCGAAAAATACTACTTATCGTAGGAATTTAAACTAAAAAATCGATGCAGTCATTCCTTAACGTTTTGAGATCCCAAACACAAAATTTCATTGTGATCGGAGAAACTGACGTTTTTCGTCACAGTCCCGCTTTAACTAGCACTCTCATTAACGGTACACGACGTATTAGATTTGCCATCGTATGGAAAAATATGTCACCTTTATGAACTTTTGCTTATTGCATTTTGCAAGTGTCGAATTGGATGCCGGCCTTGGCTTCTCTCAGAATTGTTTGGTTGTCCACGATAGCACAGTTTGCTTTTATTCTTTGATCAAAACGTGGCTGATCAGGCCCATGTACTTTTAAGTGGGACTTATTTATGAAAAGAACGTCGGTTTAAGATGGAAAAACGTTATTGTTTTCCGCAAGAGCAGGCGGGTTTTTCGGAGAGGAACATAATTACTGTGGAAACAAACCCACGCTATTATTTGAAAGGGACGTGCATCCCTTAAATACATTCCTATATCAAATCAATTCAAGATCTCATCTAAAAATCGACAACAGTTCTATACCCTTAAATTTATTTTCAATTTGTTAAAATAAATAAACATGTTCCACCATTTACCAAAGCCCTTGGGAGGCCTTTAATCGGGTTCTTACTGAAAAAGTTGTTTACTATGTGATTGATTGACTAACTGATAGGTCAACTGACCGCTGACCAACTGACCAACTGACCAACTGACTGACTAACTGAATGATCAGCTGACTGACCGACGGACTGACCAGCTGACCGACTGATTGTCTAACTGAATGACCAACTAACCAACTTACTGAACGAGTGGCGGACTAGATGACTGACCAACTGACTGACCAACTGGCTGGCTGGCTGACAGACGGACTGACTGACCGACCGACCACGTGGACTGATTGACTGATCTACCAGCTGACTGACTGGCTTACTGGCTGACTGACCGGATGATCACCTGACTGTTTGACTGACTGACTACCTGGCTGACTGACTTATCGACTGACTGGCTGGTTGGCTGACCGATGTACTGACTGACCGTTTGACCGACTGGCCGACTACCTGACTGATAATTTTCTTATTTATTTCTTTGCTCATTCATTTATTTGCTTATGTATTTGTTTATCTATTTATTTACCCTTTACTCAACAGCTTCAGTTCGCTGGAATTTTGATGCACACGACTTCCGCTCTGTTCCTGGACTGTGGCTTCAGTTTGAAACTGTTGATGATCCTGTGGTTCTACTGCATCTCTTTAATTTTGTTGTTTACAAACTTCTACCTTCGTGCCTACCTCAGCAAAGAGAAGAAATCAGAATAAGGAAAACACAGGATATCGTATGAGAAGAGATAACACTTTCGTCTACCTTTGTTCTGCCCTCTTTTTTGTATATCCTCGACTAATATTTTTTAATGTATGCCTTTGTCTTTTCCAAGTTATTCGTATGTCATTTCTACCCAAGGTTTCGGTGCACAAACAATACCAAACAGTAATTGGAAATAGAAAGTCCTATTATTAATTCATTTAAAAAGGACATTCAAGCGAGTGTCGTAGAACCAAAACCAAAGTTATGACCACTACCAATCAGAAGAAAGAAAAAAGTCACAAAGAGCCATTAAAAACGCAGAATAAAAACAACTATAACGGCTAAAACGCGGGAACACGCGAGTGGCTAAGTCGAACCTGATTGGTTTAAAAAATGACGCGAACTTTCTGGATCAATCACTGACCCAAGTGAAGCAAAACGGATTACTTTCGACACTCAGTTGAAAACTGTTCCACAGCACGACATAATAACTAATTTATATGGAAATGTATAATCGCCACTAAGGATAATTTTTCTAAAAGATTTTAAGCAGTCTTTAAAACGATAAATTGAGCAAAGTTCAGCGTTTAGAAGTTGTTTGTTTCTACTTTTTGTATTTTATGTTTTTCTAGATACAGTGAGAACGTACATTGAAACCACATTATAACTTAGTAACAAAGGATAGGCAAAGCAAGTTCGTTATATCAAAGAAACGTTCTAACGAAAGCTTATTACAACGGGGTTAGTCACAATAAGGGTTCCGACGTGGTTTATCGCTTAAGGATTTTACAAAATAGCTTCTATTGTGATTGTCATATCAAGCTCGTGGATTCTTTTGTTTTGATGACCGTACACTGCCGCTAACCATGGTTGGAATTCATTGACGACAGCGAACACAACACTAAACCGGGTTACAAACAACCGCACGAGCTAGTAGAACTCAAAACGTACAACTTTTCCCGTAAAACTCAAAATAGAGTGGTAAATCAAAAGGATACCAGTACTTGAATACGCTTTGAGTTCGAAAACTCTCGAGTTTTCTATTTCTCTACTTTTGTTTCCTTTAACAATTTTACCGTGAACATTTCTATTTCCTTTCACTTATTTTGCGGGACAGCGTTTGTTTCTTGCACTTTCCTTCGAAATTTTGCGCGAGAAATTGTCGCGCGGGCGATGAAAATTGATCCCCTCGCGCATGCCTGACGTCTGACCGCTGAGTTTTGACCGTGTACTGTGTACTTTTGAGTCCACATTCTTTTTAGCTTTTCAGGGGCGGATCCAGGAATTTTTGATAGGGGGGGTCCAAACTTTGGTTCAGAAAGGACTGTTGGGCTCTTTTGAGGCAAATTACTTCTCCCCCACCCCCCCTCCCACCAGTCGCGGTTGCACGTTATAATTCCTTGGCCGCTTACCGTTTACTTGGATTCATTAATTTAAAAAATCAGCCAGTTAAAAAGTGATATACGATCCTGCGGATGTAAGAATTTCACTCTCAAAGTTGTAAGCGTCAGGTCTGATAGGGGGGGGGCCGGACCCCCCCGACCCTCCCCCTGGAT